AAAACCAACTAACATACTTAATAAGTGTTTTTATAATTCTAGATAAAATAAATAAGGAACCAAACAATCAATTATTGTATTTGTAGTTAGGTGTCTGCTTCACTTTAAAGTTTGAAACTTGCTGTTGTGATTTAATGAAAATAATGTGGTTTTAGCTAATGGATTTAAGATATTTTATCAAAACTTATTTGTAAGATTCAATGTGACCTGCTTAAAAACATGGATATATTACTAAACTTTATTTAGTAAAATACATTACTAAAAATAAAATATATTACTAAAAGTAAAATATATTACTAAAAGTAAAATATATTACTAAAAGTAAAATATATTACTAAAAGTAAAATATATTACTAAAATAAGTAATAAGTAAAATGTATTACTAAAACGCCTGTTTAAAAACATGGATATATTACTAAATTTTTGGGCAAAACCAAATCTTGCTTGGCGTTGCTAAGGCGTTGCTAAGCGATTAAAATTATCCCTGGTTTTTTAAAAACCTTATATCTCCAAATACTATTAAAAAAAAACATATCAAAGTTATACATATTTGAAACCAGCATTGAATTCTACATATATTTAAATAAAAATCCCAAAACCGTTTTTTATGATTTTAATGCTTTAGTACCACCTTAAGCCACTGTCTAAATATCCTTTTTTTCTGAACACATTGGCTCACTTTGGAACTTACGTGATACATATGTATAATTATGGTTCCAAAAAAATCAGCTAATTTGAACTGGTTTTAGGAAAAAATCCCCCTGGAAAAAATCACCCCGAGAAAAAATCCCTCCGGAAAGTATCCCCCCCCCCTAAAAAAAAAAAAATTTTCCTCAAAAATTATCAATATGTAGTTGTGTTTATTTCTTTATTTATTTTAAATATATTTATAAAATACTTCAATTTTCATTAAAATGTCAAGTTATGCGCTATTCCTCGAAGGTAGCAAATGTGAAGCCCTAATCCTAACCCTAACCCTGACGAACAACGAACTGGTAAAATGTAAAACCATCGTCGTATTGGTTGTTAATGATGTAATGATGTAAAATTTAAATTACATTATTTATCGTTTACCGTAAAATAGTTAATTTAGCGGTATATTTTAAGGACCTTTGAGCGAAAAAGTTATTTTTAAAAAAACCCTGAAGGAAATTAAGTGAAACTAGATGAATACGATATGAAAAAATATATATTTTCTAATTATTTGATAGACTGCCGGCCTAAACCAAACGACCACCAACAAATAAAACTGGATGATAAACTTAATCATCTAGCTTTTGTATGGGATACTAAAAGGTCTTCTTTTGCTTTACTTAATCATTCAAATATTGATAATAGAATATCAAAATTTAGGGCAATAATTCAAAATCTTTTTCAGTCTGGAATCCGCGTTTGCTCATCCAAGCTCTATCGTCCAGCTATATAAAACATTAGCGGTTCCGGTACTTACGTATGGTCTTGAATAGACCATCCAACTTGACTATTCGAATACTTGATATTCGAATATATTTGCATGTTTTTTGACTATTTGATATTCGAATATTTTTTCCAAATATTCGAATAATTTCAAAAATGTAAATCACAGTAAGCTTTGAAAAAAGTACGGTTAATTTCTCTCTTCTTACAAGAAAAAACAAATAAACCCTGAAATAAAAAACAAATCTAAGAATTTTTATAAAGAATATAGCCTTGACGTGGGAAAATTGCATTTTTGTATGGTTTTAATTTTGTGCGACATTAATTTTGTTAGTTATTAGAAAGCAGTCTGTTATTTAAATTGCTTAGCAAATATTCGTAAATTTTATTGTAAAAATTCATTTCATTTAAAATAATAAAAACAATATAATCAATAATTTTTAATAATACAATTTGTGCTTTCATACTTCTATAATAATAATTATAATAAGAATAATAAGAATACTTCAGGTAAATTAAAATTTGTCAGATTTTCTTACATACATAATAACCCTTTGGTTTTTTTAGCCATGTCAAAAAAATCCGAGGTATGGAAGTTTTTTAAGAAAGATGAAAAAAAATTTGGTGAAGCCACATGTGGTACGCGCAACACGAACATTGGATGGAAAAGTTCAACCACTGCTATGATTAACCATTTAAAGCTACGACACAACATATTGATATCTAAATCGGTATCAAGTGAAATTCATGAAGAAAATAATAAGAAAAAACAAAAAACTGAAACAAGTACTATTTGGCAATTTGTAAAAAAAGAATCTTTAAATGAAATATTGTCAAAAGTCGCAGCTGTTGATGGAATGGCGATCACGGCAATTAGTAAATCTCAAGCTATAGCTGGTTACGTGCAACAAAAGGTTATAAAATGCAAAAAAGTCCGATAACTATTTCAAAATGCATATCAGCTTTTATAAAGAAAAATTTATTGAACTGCGGGACAAATTTCAAAAATTAAAAACAACAAATCGTAAATTTGCTATTATAGTGGATGAATGGACAGATTGCACTATTTTACGTTATGTAAACGTAACAGCTCATGAACTTGGAATAAACTCAAATACAATTGAAAGCCATGTTTTGGGTTTGACGAAAATAATTAAGCAGGGAAATGCTGAAACAATTAAACATTTAGTTGAAGCTAAGTTGGCAGACTTTGGGATTCTCTTAAAAAATGATGTTATTGCATCAATTAACGACGCAGCAAAAATATGGCAATATATTATGTGTATTAAATCAACTTTGCCATAATCACGCGCTCCATTTAGCTGTCATGGATTGTTTTTATATAAAAAATGTATTCCTAATGAAGTGTTTGACGATACCGAAGAATTTGCTGATGAAGAAATGGAAGAAGAAGATTCCATAGAAGATCAGTGCTCTGAATACAATTTGGAGTTTATTAACGAAAAAGAAAATGTAATGACATTGGATATTGATTTTGACCAAATTATTAACAGGTTAAGAGGTGTTATAAGAATGTTTAAAAAATCGGCTACAAAGCATTCTATTTTGCAACAAAATATAGCTCAAAAAATGGGGAAAAAACAAGTTAAAATTAGACATGAAAACTCGATGGAGTTCTTTGAGTGTAATGATTCGACGTTTTTTAATTCTATCAGAATGTATTAACAAATCCTTAATCGAATTGAATTTTAATCTAATTGCTGAAAATAATATTTGTGCGCTACAAACCTTGTTGACGTTCTCGCACCATTTGAAACTGCTGTTACTGAATTGAGTAAAAATGATGCAAATCTCATAACAGCTGAAGGAGTATACATATTTTTGTTTGAAAAGTTGCAACCAATGCAAACAGATATAGCAAAAAAACTTATATATGCTATCCAAAAAAGGATGGATGAAAGAAGAGATCCAGTTTTAATGACACTAATCATTTACCTACAGAGTGGAAATATACCAAGTTCCAACGATTATTTTAAATATTCGTCAAAAAATGCAGCAATTTCATTCGCTGTTAAAGTTATGGAACAAATATATCCACAAATGTTCATAGAAGAGCATATTAATAGTGATTCTACATCATCTTAATTTGATGCAGATGATTGAATAGAATTAACACCACAAGTTGGACTGCAAAAAGAACTCCAAAAAGAACTCCAAAATGCAATAAGTTCTATTACAGCTCCAAAAAACTGTCATGTTCGCCATACCAGGCAAATTGATAAATATAATGAACTAAAGAAAGCATTTCATTAGTTTGATTCTTTCAAAAAACGATCGGATACGCTGGACGTTTTGTATAATGCTCTTATAACAATACGGCCTACTTCAACAGCTTCTGAAAGAGTATTCTCAACAGCAGGCGCAATCAAAACAAAAAGACGAACCAGTTTATACACAAAAAGTTGTTCCAATTTGCTTCCATTCCATTTCCAAATATTAGTGGTCTATTTTAGAATAAAGGGTCGATGTCTTTGTTACGTTTTAACACCCTCGTAGTGAAATGTTCCATTCTTATAAATACTTTAACCCAAAAAACACTGATTATATTATGTGTTAAAAAGTTTAAATTTTATTTTCTTACTTTACAGCATTTAAAAGTGTTGTATATATTGACTTTATGGCTGGGATTTGTGCACCGCACAACGCCCTCTCCCCAACCCCCCAGTCTTCTCCAACCTAAAAGAAAAATTTAAAAGAGATTTGATAAAAGGTTTTAAATTGAGTTTATTGAAAAAAAGAAATTAGTATACAAGATTATTTTACTAAATTAGTTAGGGGAGGGGCGTGTGTCACGACTAACGCCCCGTCCCCCCCCCTCGCCCCGCCCCCTACTTATTCAAACTTTAAAAAAATGTCTATAGAAATTCAAAAACTTTTTTAAATTGCATTTAATTAAAAAGAGAGACAACTTTATAAATCTTACCACATTACACTTTTTTCAGTGCATCCGAAAACATAACTCCACTTTTTTTTGGACCCATAAATCCTTTAAAAATATATATATAAAGAGTTAATATACCATAGTTTTAATTAAATTTTTTGAAATTTAAAAAAATAATATACAATAATTTGTTAACAATTAATAACATAATAATATAACATGTAAAAAAACTATTAAATAATATAGACTTAAAAAATCTCATACATATCTTCTACAAACAAGTATTGGTTACATAAATATTATATTTAGAAACTGTAAACAAGTTAAACTGTTTTAAAATCAAATAATTAAACTGGTTTGAAATCAAATAATATTACTTAACTCAAACAAACAGTAAACAAACTAAACAAAAAAAAGAATAGTAATTAAGTATGCAAAAGATATTTTATATTAATCAACTCAATAAAATATTACACATAAATTTAAAACATTTAATATGGACTTTGAAATCCTAAAAAAATCCTAAACGCATTTAAAAGTCAATAACTATTTATAGTTACAACTTTTATACTTTTTACACGACAAATTTTAATCACATTGAAAACATACAGAATATTTCCCTTGCAAACTATTACACCTGTCAATGCTAGCTCTCAGCAACCCTATTAGGAGGATGATAGGCCTAGCTGAATGATTCACCATCATTCCCTCCTAACCGGACCCATCGCAAAAATGGCCGATTGCTAATCGGTCCAGGGTGCTGGTTTCTATATCTCCTATAGGCACGATAGGTAAGCTCTAAATGACAATAAATTGTTACTAAATTAGTATTGAATAGCATTACATAATATTTAATATAAACCAATTATTTGTAATAATAATAAACCAATGATAGCTTGAAAAATGTTAATTAATGTAAAAAGTTAAATACTGCTCTGGATTTTACTTTTACTGCACTTTGAAGGATAACATAATACAAATGTATTAATTAGTGAATATAAATAAAAATATTATGAATTAAATAATCATTCAGAAACATTTCTAAATCATAAATTTATCAACAGAAGGTTGTGCAGATTGTTGTGGTCGTGGGATTAAAGTTAAAATTTTTTTAAAAATAAAATTACAATTTATTTGCAGTCGATAAGATAGGCATAGACATATTAGAAACAATACTTTTACACATATTATGCATACACATATTATGCATACACATATTAAAAAATTATAGTTTATAAACTTACCACTTGTAGCAGCTGAAGATGTAACTAAAGGTTAACAAAGTTGAAATAAAAATAAATATTGTGAAGAAATGCCAAGAAATGTATTAATATATTGAAAAGTAAAAGTTTGTAAATATACCAATTATAGCAGATATAAATTTTATAACTAAGTTATAAAAAGTGTAATAAAAAATAAATATTGCAATTGCTCTGAAATACATACATATATGAACAGGTTTTTTGAAGGATGCAATAAAAATATTTTTAAACTTACCACCCAATGCAGTTGAGGATGGAACTAGAGCTTAAAAGTTTAAAAAATATATATTTGCACTTGTCAAGAAATGCAAACATTAAAAAGAAATAATTGTTAAACTTACCATTCATTGTAGATGAAGATGTTGCTAGAGGTAAAAAAAAGTAGTAAAAAATAAATATTGCAATTGACGACTTTGAAATTGGTATTAAACCTATTTACAGATTAAAAAGTACTAGCTTTTAAAATAACTAACCATAGCAACTGATAGAAGGAGCGAAGATCAAAAATAATTTAAGGTAACCCAAGATATACATGCTTATATTTAATATTCAAGTTATCCTACACAAACTTACCAGTGATAGGCTGGGTAGATCGAACTAAAAATAACAACAAAACCCTATGAAATTATGAAAGCAACTATCTGTAAGTAAGTTCTGTGGAAAATGCAACAACTTTATTAACATAATGAAAACTTTATTAACATAATGAAAACTAACAATGAAAATATAAAGAAAATATATTAATAAACAACAAACTAACATTAAGAATGGGTTATTCACTTTGTTTATAGATTAATTACATTATATTGGTTGTGGTTATATATGAAATACGTGATTTATACTTATGGAATCTCAAAAACTCTCCATGTCTAGCCGGATCTAAACAACAAGTCAACGTTAGGCATGCTTGTATTGTGATTTAAATATTAATCCACAGATAAAGAAGTATACAATCCAAAAATAATAAAAGATGATAATAAGTTAATAAGTTTTATCATATTTGAAAAATGCTAACAAGTCTTTTGCAAGGAATAAACCAATGAAGTATCTGATTTTTAAACTTATTTATATGTTGTGTCTTTATAAAATTGTCAACAGATACTATTAGTTAACAATCCATTCAAAAGCAAAAGTTTTAAACTGAAACATTAATCTTCTTTTTTATGAAACATATAAAAACAGATTAGGAATTAATCTGTTTTTATATGTTACATAAAAAAGAATTTTAAATCAAAAAATATTCATAAATGATTTATGAATATTTTTTGATTTAAAATAGTTATTATTGATGTTATAAAAAAATTACTACCTGTTATTTTTGATGTTATAAAAAAACTTACTACCTGTTAGAGAGTCAAGTAAAGTTCTGTCTGCAGAGTTCATTTTTTATTTTAATCTAATAATAAAAATCAAAATAATACAATATTAGAAATTTTATTTTTTTTCTGTAGAGTCGGCCCCCCTATCCGCCCCCGTATTTCGCTTAACGAAAAAAACAGCAACAAACAAACAACAGAAAAGCCAAAATTAGGTACCAAAAGTTCTACACTAATTAAACTATCTGCGAAGCTTTATTTTTTGTTGAAATTTGGCATGTGCATAGAAAATGCATGTAGAAAATTATCTAAATAATAAAAAAAGGGGGATCAACATTTCTTCGACTACAAATTCAGGTGAGAACATCAAGCAAATTTTTATGCAAAGTTTTTGGCAAAATAATCCATAAAAAAGTATACTAACCAAACATAATATTCATAAAATATCAAGCTTAACCTTTCGTCTTTTAAAAATGATATAGGTTTGTATATGTTTCTGATAAGAATCACCACAAAAAAACGTTTGCCTAGGACTACCTAAAAAAAGTAGTATACTTAGTATAACACTAATTAAATCTGCGTAGCTTTATTTTTAGTTGAAATTTGGCATGTGCATAGAAAATGCATGTAGAAAATTATCTAAATAATAAAAAAAGGGGGATCAACATTTCCACTACTAAACACTCATGTGAGAACATCAACCAAATTTTTAGGAGCAAAATAATCCACAAAAATGTTAAGTAACCATACATAAATGTCATATATAAATCAAGATTAACTTTTCTTCTTTCAAAAAAGTATCTATGTGCATATATGTTTCTAAAAAGAAACTTTATAAAATTACATCTGCCTCATGCTGCCTAAAAAAGAGTTAAAAAATCGAGAACCAATATTTTAGCATAAAAATCGGTTCCGTAAATCGCGATTTCCGCGTACCTATATATATATATATATAGATATATATATATATATATATATATATATATATATATATATATATATATATATATATATATATATATATATATATATATATATATATATATATATATACATTATATATATATACTTATATATATATATATATATATATATATATATATATATATATATATATATATATATATATATATATATATACTATATATATATATATATATATATATATATATATATATATATATATATATATATATATATATATATATATATATATATAAACTTAAAAATTAAGTAAATTGTATAAAAAGAAAATTGTTAAGTTACAAATTAGACTTACTGATAAACTGCTGAGATTCAATTACTAATTGGTTAGCAACAACCACATTAACAACACAAAACAAACTCACTTTAGAATACCTTAAGTTAAAATTTACAATAAAATCTCAGCTATATAAAATATAAAATTCAACGTGTGCAAAAATCTTTTCTCAAGTAAAAGAGAAACGGCAAATTTACCAAAAAAAGACGGGGGAAATTATAATAATCTTTACTTAGAAAACAAAAAACCCACCCTATTAGACTACAAAAAAAAAAAAAAAAAAAAAACTTGTTCACTTAATAAATAAATAGTTGCAGATTTATTTTTACGTGGGGACGAAAGAGTTATTTTAATTTACTTGCTTTTTAACAAAACTGAAAGATTTAAAACTAAATAACTTTATCAATTCTAAACCAAAACGTCGTCCCCAAACAAATTATTGTAGTACAACCTTTTCTAAAAAAAATAACATCTACATGTACGTATATAATATTTATTTTCATGGGTGGGTTTTTATTCTTCAAAACCTACAAAAAATCATTTCTGGCGTTTTTTGGAAGAAGTTTTTCAAAAATATATTAACGATTTTTTTCCGCAATAAAATGTCACGTGACAAAACTCCCTATTAAAATTTGTTCTACAAAATGGTTCATTTAGCAAATCTTTATTTCTTAGTGAGTACTTATTAGTAAGTTTTAATGTAAAAAGGTCGTTAAAAACAGGTAGGGATCAATCAAAGATCATCAAAGAAAGGCTTTGAATGTGTAGAGCGATCCACATAATTAATCACGCGAATCGCATGTTTCTGTTGGGGATATAGAGGTTGTAATTTACTTTTTTCGGTACTACCCCATGCAATATTTGCGTAGTTTATATAGCTGTGTATGAATAAGTAATAGAGCTGCGTAAGGCTTTTTTGCTTAAGTAAGGTCGGGCTTTATACAAAATGCCAATATTTTTAGATACCTTGGTGGTTATATGATTAATATGGTTTTTCCAAGTAATATTCTCATCAAGATAAACACCTAGGAATCTTATAACAGAATCTCTTTTTATTAGAGTTTCATCAATATAAATTTGAGGCATAATATCTGGTAAAGAACGTTTTTTTGAGAAGGAATGAAAAAGAATCCATTTAGTCTTGTTAGTATTTAACGTTAACTTATTACATTTAAACCATTTAGAAATGTTTATAAATTCATTATTAGTTTTTGAGAAAAATTTGTAAACATCAGTGTGGGATTGAAATAAATTAGTGTCATCGGCATAAATAATACTCATCAGGTTAGAGGCTTTGTTTAAATCATTGACATATATAAGAAATAGCAGCGGTCCAAGAATAGAACCTTGTGGAACACCACAGGTTATATTTAAGGATCCACTTTGAACGTCATTATTACTATTGACTACTTGCTTACGATTTGTTAAATAGCTTTTAAACCACGCTAAAGTATTATTGTTTAAACCGTAATATTTCATTTTTTGTATTAAAATATTATGGTCAACCGTATCAAATGCTTTTGATAGGTCTATAAAAATACCTAATGTATATTGAGCTTTTTCAATGGATTGGGGATGTTGCGTACAAATTGAATAATGGCATGCTCAGTTGAACTATTTTTTTTGAAACCGAATTGATTATTGTATAGTAGGTTATTGTAATTAAAATAATTATTAACTCTGTTAAACATAATTCTTTCTAGGATTTTGGAGAATACAGATAGGATAGAGATGGGGCGGTAATTATTGATATTGGATCTGTCGCCTTCTTTGTGAATTGGAATAATTTCAGCAATTTTTAAGCGCTCAGGAAAAATTCCTTGTTGGATGGATGCTTTGTAGATTTTAAAAAGAATATTTTTAATTTGTTCATAGCAATCTATAATTATATTTCCGTTTATTTCATCAGGCCCAGTTGCTTTTTTTAAGGTTTTAAAAGCTTTTTCAAACTCTTCAAAGGATAATTCGGACGATAGTTCATCTGAGCAAATGCCTTTATTAAGAGGTGCTAAAAAATCATGAAAAGAAGTTTTGGTAATTGGAATTTTATCTGATAGGGTTGGGCCAATTTCAACAAAATATTTATTAAACTCATTAGCTATAATTTGTGGATTGTATAAAATTTTGTTATCGATTTTAAGCATGTGTGGTAAAAAACTTGAGCATGTTTTTTGTTTTCCAATTATTTCTTTTCGTATTTGCCAAGTGCGTTTTAGGTTATTTTTTGTTTCATTAATCAAATTTGAATAGTAGTTTTTTAAACTTTTCCGGATTTTTTCAAATAAATTTTTATATTCTTTGTATTTTTTTTTCGCTTGTAGGAGTTTTTGTTTTTAGGTATTTTATATATAACTTTTGCTTAGTTTTTGATGATTTTTTGAAACCTTTGGTAACCCAAGGATTATTTATGTTTTTAGTTTTTGGTGTATGAGTAACATTAGGAAAGTTAGCATCGTAAACCGAAAAAAATGTTTTAAAGAAATTTTCAAAAAGATTATTAGCGTCATCATTAAAGTTTAAATGTTTCCAATGCAGTAGCGATAGTTGGTTTTTAAACAATTCAATTTTTGATTGATTAAAAATACGTTTAGTTAAGATTTTGTTAGGTTTTTTTACATTTGCTTGGTTAGTGGGTATAGTCAGAAAAATAGGAAAGTGATCCGAGATATCTGTTTTTAAGATTCCTTTTTTTTTTTATCATTATTAAAGATATCTGTTGTAATGATATTGTCTAGTAAAGTTGCTGAGTATTTTGTCACTCTCGTGGGGCGATTTATTAATGGAAAAGCTCCAGCCTCAAAAATTAAATCATAAAAGTTTCTAACTTTGTTGTTATCATTATATATAAATTAATTCATATTAAAGTCTCCAATAAGAAAAATTTTCTTATTTTTATTATTTCCTTCTTTAAAAACGTTTTGTAGTAAAAACATGCTCAAGTTTTCGGCCACACCATCAGGTGGTCGATAACAACAGCTTAGAAGAATATTTTTTGTTTGTTCAATTGTTATTTCAATGGTTAAAAGTTCTCCATCGCCGTTAAAATACTAAGATCGTTTCTTAGACAATGGCTAATATTTTCATGAACGTAAATTAGAACTCCGCCACCGCGCTTATTAGTTTGCCTTTCAAATGAGATTTCAAAATGAGGAAGATGAAAATTAGAGTCATTAATTAAATCGTTTGCAGTAGCCCAAGTTTCAGTTAAACAAATTATATTAAAAGTGTTTTTTGTTTCTTTAAGTAAATTTTGAAGTTTATCAAAATTGCATCTAATGCTTCGAATATTAACGTGTAGAATTCTAATTTGATATAAGCTTTTATTGCTAATATTGTTAAATAGAAACCCTTCTACTTCCCACGGATAGTAATAAGCACATTCTTTGTTAATTTCATGAAAATAAATAATGTCTTTGTTAAGGTTTTCGCGCAATGAAAAAACATTATCAAAAAAAGTAAAAGTTTCGAAATCGTTTACTGATGCCATAATTAATAAAAGCAAATAAGTTTATGTAAAAATATAATAAAAATTTAAAAGATAATATATTACTTTTTTTTGGAATTCCAATCGCGAACAATAAATTTGTCGTATGAAATATACGCATATTTGCCAGCTTGCCTTTCTATTTTCATTTTTTCATGAAGTGTCTTTCGTATAATATTTGTTTCCTTACAGTAATCTTCATATATAAAAATGTTTTTACCTTTTAATTTGGAAGAGTTGTTAAGAATTTCAGTTTTATCTTTAAAATCAAGAAGTTTTAGTATTATTGTTCTATGTTTGTTGTGAACTACTTTGCCTATTCTATGCGCTCTTTCAATGTTTACATTTTTGACTCCTAATATGTTGTTGAATATTTCTTGGACCTTCTTTTCACATTCAGCCCAGCTTTCATTGTCATTTTCAAGGACACCATCGATTCTTAAATTATTACGCCTTGACCTATTCTCAATCTCTCTGAGTTTGTTATTTATTTTTATAAGTTCATTGTTGTTATTTTGTATTTTGATGTTTGCCAGATTTTTTTTGCAAGACAATCAATCGCGTTTTTTATTTTTTTATTAAAGAGATCTTCATGAAAATTTAAACTTTCTTTGATTTCTTCTACTTCTTTTGCAATTGATGCTATTTTAGTTGAGTTTTGAAGTATGTTAAGTTCAACTTCTTATTCCGTTATTAATTTTTTAACTTCAACAAGTGTGATAGACATGTTCAATAAGTATAAATTAATATAATATAAGTAACTATTAATACTATTAACGATTTTCTATTTTATTTTCTTTAAGCAGCGAAAAAGCGTGCGTTCAATTCTTATGCGTGCTTAATAGAGAAGAATGCATTTAAGTCACTCTTCAATATTTCCAAACACAGAAAAAATTATATTCATTCTTTTTTTTACATCCAAGATGTATCAACAATCGTACAGCAAAACAAGTTAAACTTATTTATTCGCATATTGGCAATAAACCAAACCGCTAAGCACCCTTTTCTAGATGATGTCATAGGTTTATGCAATCAGAATGAACTCAATTTAGAGAACTCAATGCAAAACAAAAAAAAAGTAAAAATTATTGTGTTAAAAAAT